AAAGATTGAGTATGATGTAAATTTTGAAAAAACAAATAGTATTTATAGAGAAAAAATGTAGGGTTTTATTCAAAAAATTTAATGGAAACCATTAAATGGTTGGGAGTAATAACTTTGCATGCATGTTGTGTACGTAAATTGTGCTGCATGCATAGCTTTACATAATTTGCCTACTCAATGGGCGGAACCCTTTGCATTTTCTCACACGCTGCAGATACAATGGGCGGACATGTTACTTTTTGGTCTGCCATCCGCGCATTTAATGGGCGGAAGCGTGTAATTTGGCCTGCCAATGTCGCAGGAGCAATGGGCGTAGCCTATACGAACATCAATGCTTCTGCCTTCCCATTGGGTGGAGCCCTTACACAAATTAATGTCACCGCTTCTGCAATGGGCGGATGAGTTAATTTTATCAGTTTGACCACTAAATTCAGTTCTTCCTACGTTTATTTATTATAATATATTTACTAAACACAAAATATATTTCATTTAAATTTAGTTCTTCCTCCTACTTTTTTTCAACAACCCAACCCATTTCAAAAACAAATTTCTCCTACAATTCAGCTCTTGTTCACTAACAAATCAACATGTCTCAAGTACCTTAATATATAATGGATGCTCATTACAATAGAGAGATCCTTATCTCTGATGAAATGGGCATTATATTCGAAAATACCGATATATGCCGGTCCAAATTAAGTAGAAATGCGAAGTTTGAATATTTGAGGGAGAGGATACAAACAAGGATGCAATATGGAGCTGTCTCACAAATTATATATCGAAATGCTGTTAATTTCAGTGTGAACCAGGTGAAATATGTTTCGCTGAAAATCTGAGATGATGATGATGTGGAAATGATGTTTTACAACCATGAATTATCTGGGTTACATGCGATAGATTTATACATAAAATTTCAACTTTCTCAACAATCTCAAATCTCACAAGTGGCCAATCCCAATGATGTTGAGCCCGTGTCCATAATTCCCGAGGAAGTCGTTGTCGAAGATGACGAAGAAAAAGAGACTGAGTCACAAGTTGATGATTTGTTCACTACTTTATTTGAAGACGGTGGACGTGACGAGGCAGATGCAATCAATGAAACTGAACAACACATTCCGCTTGAGAATGTCTATTGTCCACCCGCCCACATGACCACTCTGGAAACAGCTGGAGACGAATCATCCTTTCAATGGCCCAAAAATCCTCGTCTTCCGCTGGAGGATGACATAGCTGTTGGGAACCAGTTCAAAAACAAATATGACTGTGTCTTTGCGATATCCAGGTACCATATGAAACATGTCGTTGATTTCAGGGTTACATGTTCTGACACGAAGAGATATAAAATTTATTGTAAGCGTAGTGGTTGCAACTTTCGTCTAGTGGCATCCTATAGGAAAAGGAGCGACCTATGGGAGATAGGAAACATGGAGCCCCCATATAATTGTTCAACGACCATCTTTAATCAGGATCATCGACAACTAAGCTCTCGACTGATGAGTGAACGATTAATGCCTCTTGTTGAAAAGGATCCCTCTATCAAGGTGAGTGTATGTATTAACGAAATTGTTTCTTTTTTCAAATACACTCCATCTTACAAGAAAGCATGGATTGCTAGAAACAAAGCAATCGAACAAGTGTTTGGTAATTGGGAAAAGTCATACAATGAAATTCCAAATTACTTGTTGGCCCTTAAGAAGTTTGTTCCAGGCACTGTAGTAGAAATGCAAACACTACCGGTATATACAGATGACGGGACTATTATTGTTGGGAAACAAATCTTCCACCGACTATTTTGGGCTTTCCAACCATGCATACGTGGCTTTGCATATTGCAAGCTTTTACTACAGATTGATGGTACCTGGTTATATGGAAGGTACAAAGGTACACTACTAATGGCTGTAGCACAAGACAGAAACAACAATATTTTCCCAGTTGCCTTTGCCTTAGTGGAAGGTGAGACGGCGGATGGTTGGGGTTTCTTTCTAAAAAAATTGAGAATGCATGTAGCTCCTCAACCTGGCTTGTGTTTGATTTCTGACCGACATGCATCTATCGAAAGCGCTTATAACAATCCTGAAAATGGTTGGAATAACACTACACATGTCCATGTGTATTGTATCGGGCATATTGCACAAAATTTTATGAAGGATATCAAGGACCGTATCCTCCGGAAAAAAATAATCAACATGGGTAAGTACCTTTTATGCAAACATTACATGCTCGTTGATAGTATACCATTATATTAACCAATATTTTTTTAACATGTAGGATATGCGCTGAACCAACCAACATTTAAATATTATCGTAACGAAATTGGGATGGCTAATGGTGATGCTTTGAGGTGGATAGACAAAATTCCCGTTGAAAAATGGACGAGGGCATTTGACGAGGGTCGTCGTTGGGGGCACATGACAACAAACCTTGTCGAGTCACTAAATTCCGTATTTAAAGGCACTTGTAATCTCCCCATCACATCGTTAGTAAGTGCAACATACTATAGGATGGGAACACTCTTTGCTGAAAGGGGTGCAAAGTGGAGTGCATTTTTGAATTCTGGACAAACATTTACAGAACGGTGCGTGAAGGTGATAAAAGAAGAGACGTTTAAATCCGCCACGCATCAGGTAAGCATTTTTTACTATAATAATAACACGTTCAGTGTGAAGGAGACAATTAACCACGGTGAGGGGAAGCCATTGGGGCTTTACAAGGTCAACCTAATGGAAGGATGGTGTGAATACGGAAAGTTTCAAGCATATTGTGTTCCTTGTTCACATGTTATCGCTGCATGTTCTGTGGTGCACCAAGACACATTTCTTCTATTGTCTGACGTTTACAAGGTGGCGAACTTATTTGGGGTTTACAACACGAGCTTTCCAGTTCTACCATGCGATGAGTATTGGCCCACTTATGAGGGAGATCAAATTTACCATAATCCAGTTATGCGGAGGAACAAGAAAGGTCGTCCCGTGAGCACCCGTATTACAACAGAAATGGACGCATATGATAAGTTGGAGAGAAAATGCACATTGTGTCGTCTTCCAGGTCACAACCGAACGCGATGCCCCAATGTAGAAACTAGTAATAATTAGTTATTCATTTTGTTATCAATCTGCAAAGTTGTATGTATAATGACGCCGAGTAATTATGTTTCATTTCACTAATACTTCTGCATTTGATATAAATAACAATTCGAAAAAACAACACATAAATTAAAATACTGAGACGAATAGTAGAACTTAGCAACAACATTAAACGTAAACAACATCAACATGTTCAAACAAGGACATAACCATTTCTAGGATATTACAATCAGCAACACAATATCTTTTTGTTGAAGCATCATCATAAGAACACATGCGTCGTTGTGAACAAGTCTCCAAGAACGAGTGGGTCCATTTAAGCCAGGCACCGTAACTAACCTCTCTATTTTCCGGATCTTTTCACCTTGGGCAATTTCTTACCCTAACCATCCCTCCAAGTGCCTATGCAGATGCTCAAATGTCTGCGTGTTCAACAATTTGATCTTCATCGGAGGCTTTACTGGAGAAAAAATAAGTTCTGCGTCTCTTTTCATATATGGAAACATTGAAAACTCCCCGGATGTTGAAGACATTTTTAAGATACAACTAAAGAAAAATAATTTAAGTGTAGCTAGGATCATTCAACATCAACGATATTTATAGTTCATAGCAAAAAATTTAAATTAATAAAATAATAAAACCCTCCGCCCATTACAGTGGCGGAACCGTACATAAATAATAAAATTACGGAAGCTTCCGCCCATTGCACTGGCGGAACCGTACTTAAATAATAAAATAATAAAATGAATAAAACCTTCCGTCCATTGCAGGGGCGGAGCCGCACTTCAATAATAAAATAACAAGACCCTTTCTATGATTAATATTTTAACATTGATTTCTTATTTAATAGAAATTTTAATTTATTTTTAAAATTACATTAAAAAAAATTTTATTTGATATTAATATTTTAATATTTTAATAATTTCATTAAAATGACTTAAATTTGAATATTTCAAAGTCATTTTATACAAATATATTGATTTCTTATTTAATAGAAATTTTAATTTATTTTTAAAATTACATTAAAAAATAATTTATTTATATATTAATATTTTAATATTTTAATAATTTCATTAAAATGACTTAAATTTGAATATTTCAAAGTCATTTTATACAAATATATTGATTTCTTATTTAATAATAATTTTAATTTATTTTTAAAATTACATTAAAATAAATTTTATTTGTATATTAATATTTTAATATTTTAATAATTTCATTAAAATGACTTAAATTTGAATATTTCAAAGTTATTTTATACAAATATATTGATTTCTTATTTAATAATAATTTTAATTTATTTTTAAAATTACATTAAAATAAATTTTATTTGTATATTAATATTTTAATATTTTAATAATTTCATTAAAATGACTTAAATTTGAATATTTCAAAATCATTTTATAAAAATATATTATTTTTTTATTTAACAACAATTTTATTTTATTTTTAAAATTATTTAAAAAAAAAAAAACGTTACTCAAACAGCTCCGCCAATGCAATGGGCGGAAGCTGTGTAATTTTAAGACCATCCGCCCATCCATTGGGCGAAGCCTCCTAATATTAAAAAAATTTTTTTTGAAAAGGTGATATAGTGGGAATATTGGTTGAAATGTGTGGTATATTGGGATTTAATTGTTAAAAGGGGTGTATGTTGATAAAAAATTCCGAAAATAAATCTTACTAGCATATTGACTAATCCATCCAAGCCAAATAGCATAAAGACATTTCCCACGTCATATCTACAAACAATGCATTTCACTAAATAACATGACACAAGAACAAAAAGTCAAGTGTACCATATTTCACAAAAAGTGCAACTATCAGAAAACACATAGAGAGATAATAATATATCATATCTATATCTTCTCTTTCCTTTCTCCACCAACGGTTACTGTATAAACAAACAAACACACCATGAAGCTATCTAGTACCAAACCCAAACCCATTTCTAGTCCAAGTAGAATGGAAAAATTCCCATCACCATTAATGAGATTCTTAAAAACAAATGCAGGAAACAGAAGCAGAGGAAGGTTAAAATCAAAATCAAGTAACTCTATGTTCCAAATCCTAAGGAAAAAGAACACTACCAGTACCTCCATCGAAACCAAGGAACCTTCTTCCCCAAAAGTCACTTGCATGGGTCAAGTTCGCTCCTCCAAACAAACCACCGCTAAAAAGGGTCTATCCGGCGACGGAGCTCCGACTAAATGCCGCTGCCGGTTTTGGTGGTTCCCACATACAGATTGCTGGTTTCGAAGAAAGGGAAAAGCCTCTAAAGCTTCAACGAAGAATGGACCGAAATCGAAAGAATCAGAAAGAGAACAACAACAACAACAACATGAAGAAGAAGAAGATAACAGACAAGTTAAAGTTAAAGCTTTTGTTTCTACGCCTCCGAGAAATGCTTTATTACTAACGAGGTGTAAATCAGCACCTTATAGTTCTTCTTCATTAGCAAGTAGGTTTTGGGATTCTCCGGCAAGGAGCGAAGAAACAGAGCAACCCAATGAGAAACAGAGTGAGTCCGTTTCGAAGCTGCGGTTTTTCACAGAACTTGAAGATTCAGTGAGAGAAAGAATGAATGAGTCTGAAAGTGTTGGTGAATTGAAGAGAAAGGAAGAAGATAAAGTAGACTCTGTAGGGTTTCCAATAGTGCTAACGAGGTGCAAATCTGAAAGAACAAGAAGATTTTGATTCATAGGTAAATTACATGGTTGTGTTTTTTGTTTTGTTTTCAGATACATTGTTTTTTACATGGTTTCATGTATTTTTATATTTTTTATTATTGTTTATTAGAAATACAAACTATAGTCATGTTATTTTGTTAATGAGTTGAATATAGATCAAGGATGTTTCTTTTTATTAGGATGGTCATTTTAGAGTCTAAACTGATTTAAATACATTTAAGGGCAAAAAATGAGTGATTACTTTTTGAGTTGTTAATTGCTTCTTTTTATGACTGAGGTAGCATAGTTTGGGTGAATTTTGTCAGCTCCTTGAAAATAAATATTTTAAATTCTGACATCAAATTATATTTTGACAATAATTCTGACATCAATATGAAATAAAATAAATATTTGTAGACACCGTGCACATGTTCCGGGGTTCTATAATAATAATAATAATAATAATAATAATAATAATAATAATAATAATAATAATAATAATAATAATAATAATAATAGAGATTTATTATTATTAAAAGCGTACAATTATATTTTATTGGATCTCTTACTACAAATTTTATTACCTAAGTCAAAGGATCCGTTCAATCAACTTCTTCCGACACCAAGAGATGAGATGTTCGAAGACTTAGGGACAATAGCAGAGTTGGAATCCAACAAGATCATTTCCACATAGCTATATGTTTTGTTTTCACTTTGTACTCTTTTTATTTCATGACAATTTCCTCTTACAAGGATTTATGTCTCTTTGTATAAAATCGCATGTTATGGGCAAATTATCAATTCAAATACACCATAAAATTCAAACTTTCTGTTATTTCTCTTTTGTTTGAAAAACGTCCAATGACTAAAATTTAATGAACATATTCATATGAACGCAATTAACTGTTAACAAATATATGCATAAGAACAAGAATAAGTATTTACTCAAAACTCTATGAGTTAGGATGACATTCAAGATGTCCACAAAATCTCCACAGAGTCACTTTCATGAGATTATCTCCACAGAGTAATCTTCACAAATTCATCTTTAGTGAAGATACATTTCCCAGAAGATCGCTCCAGCGGATAAAAGAATATGATCTTTTTCCCGACGATATCACCAACCTACGAAGTTTCAATCAGTACAGTTCATGGGAGTTCTCTTCTCCAACTGAGTTTATTCCTCCGAAACTATAAGATCCCCTGCAGATTTCTTCACTCCAGTAGAGCTTGTTTCCTCAGCAGAGTATTTCTCCGTCAACAGGATTTATTTCCCCAATAGATTACAGTCTCCACAGCTTGAGTTTATTCCTTAGATTGCTACGAATCACTGACAAAATTCCTCTGCCCAGTGAAGTCACCACTATCCCCAGAGAGTTGCTACGGAACCTGGAACCGGACCAGATATCAGTCAACTTTATCCTCCCCATACGAGTCGAAGGTTATCCATCTCTTTTATCCCCAGTCAGGATATATAAGAATCATCCTCCTCAGACGAGTCAGAAGGTTATCTATCTCTTTTATCTCAGGTCAGGGTATATAAGAATTAAACTCCTCAGACAAGTCAGAAGGTTATTCATCTCTTTTATCCCCAGTTAGGGTATATAAGAATTAAATTCCCCAGATAAGTCAGAAGGTTATCCCTCTCTTTTATCCCCAGTCAGGGTAATGAGAACTAAACTCTACTCCCCAAGCAGAAGTCAACATTCCCCAGTGGAGTTTACTCAAACAGCAAGCGGGAATCCCCAGCGGAAGCATTTCTAGACAAGGTTCAAGATTACACATGTTCTTCATCCCCAGCACCATTCAGGGATTCATTTTCCCCAGCAAGCTATCATATGGAACTGTTGATACATTTCCAACAAACATTTCACATTCATACATCATTTACCAATATCATAACATATGCATACGAAACGCATTAACACAATCTCATTTATTTTGAGAACATCATTATGCAATGTATTTCATACATCATGAAATTGCATACAACTAACTCTTTACCTTTTCAGAAAAAACCAATCGACAAACAAACATTATCAACTACTTATATGACCCAACAATCTTCTCAAAGGCTACGTCTGACAAAGGGCTATTTCAGTAACTTCCTCAGAGGGTCATTCTTAAGTATACTTTTTCTGGCTTAGATTAAATCGACCATAGATTTATTCTGATACTTCTCCCAGTTAAGGACAGACAATACATTTTCTGGCTTAGATTAAATCGACCATAGATTTATTCTGATACTTCTCCCAATTAAAGACGGACACAGACATCTTCTGGCTCAGATTAAATCAACCATAGATTTATTCTGATACTTCCTCCAGTAGACCTTTGCTGGCTCAGATTGAATCGACCATAGATTTATTTTGATACTTCTTCCAGTTAAATACATGCACAAGCATCTTCTGGATCAGATTAAATCGACCATAGATTTATTCGAATACTTCTTCCAGTAGATATTTTTCTGGCTCAGATTAAATTGATCATAGATTTATTCTGATACTTCTTCCAGTTAAAGACAAAAGACCTCTTCTGGCTCAGATTAAATCGAGCATAGATTTATTTTGATTCTTCTTCCAGTTAAAGACATGCATAAACATCTTCTGGCTCAGATTAAATCAACCATAGATTTATTCTGATACTTCTTCCAGTAGACATTTTCTGGCTCAGATTAAATCGACCATAGATTTATTCTGATACTTCTTCTAGTGAAAGACAAAAAGACCTCTTCTGGCTCAGTTTAAATCGAGCGTAGATTTATTCTGATACTTCTTCCAGTTGAAGTCGAGCACAAACTTAGTCTAAATTCTATCCACATTTACTTTGGATGGAATCTATAAGCCCATCTCCGACAACTCTCCATCACCTCTCCAAATGGCATCTTTAAGCCAATTCCCAATACATCAATCAACAACATTATTTCGGGCACATGCGAGTACAAATTTATGGCCACTTAAGTGTTCAATCGTCTTCCACCTTCAAGTCACAAATGGCGGATACGCCAATCTAACTCTTAAGGTTTAAGAATATTTAACAGGGGAAGCTTTTGTACCCAAAAATTTGTCCTCCCATTTTCTTCAAGACATTCTTTTAAGGTTCTCAAATGCTCAAGGATTCTCAAGAGTTGATAAGATAAATTCACCTCCTAAGCAAGGGTCTTCAACTAGGGTTTGGTTCTTCTAAAATAATATTGGGTTGCAAGGGTATCAAATGACTTTCATGGTTCATCATAGGTCCTCAATAATGCTTAGGTCAAGTTTCAAGCCTTGCATCACAAGTTTGCTCAGATGGCTGAAAATCAACTGTATTGGACAAAAAGTAAACTATGATCAACATACACTCAAACTTTAAGAATTTTGGTCAACATTAACATTTTGATGTGATATTCATCATTAGATCAAGGTTTGATCATGATTCCTCAAGGGGAGCCCTCAAACCATCAAAGGTAAAAAAATTGCCAAATTAGGGTTTTGACTGAGGATGACTGATCTTTGACTTTTGGTCTAGTGCATGACCTAATGGCTTGAAGCATGATATCAAAAGCTCAAATACAACATCTTGACCTAATTACATGGCTCAAGGAAGTTCCAAAGATGCAAGTGATTGATAGTTGAGGAATTGAATCAACTGATGAAAAGTCAACAGTCACACAAAAGTCAAACTTTGACTTTTTGGTCAACATTGGAATTCAAAAATCAAGAATCATCAAGATATTAAAAACTATCAAACTCTATCATGAAGAATAAAAAAAGTCAACAAAAGTCAAAAAGTTGGAAAGTTTTCCAACACTTGGAAATTTTTTAAGTGTTTTGTTCTTAACAAAATCACTACTTCATGGCCATTTTTCACTAAGATCCAAGTTGATTCAAAGAAAAATTTCAACATGAAAGTTATAGGGATTGATGAATTCTACAACTTTGTCAGTGTGGGATGATTCTCAAAAAGTTTTTGGATTAAGAGATATGAGCCCATGAAGTTATGACATTTTTATCTAACACTCAGAAAAAATTTCAACAAGTTTTGGTTAGTTTTTCATCTCAACTTCTTGGCAAATTTTCACCAAGTTCCCAATTGATTCAACAAAAATGATCAACATGAAAGTTGAAGATATTGATTCAAGATTTTTAAAATGTCCATAATCATAAAAGGATCTTGCTTGAGCTAGAAGTTTCAAAGATATGAAGTTGGGTATCTAAGGTTTTATTATAGGTCATTTTTGTGACAAGTTCATAACCAAATCTTCAAGCCATGCTGCATAATCTCACTTTGCAGGCATCTAAACCTCCAAATCTATCCATAATCATAAGTTTGCACCCACTTTTGAGCCATTATCTAAGTGATTCAAGCTTTGTCCAAGCTTACTTGCCATTTAAGGGAGAAAGGTCACATTTCCATTCTTGTAAAGTGACTTTAATCATAAAGTCCACTCTCCTTGAGCCTTTTAATTGTTTCTTCTACACACACAATGTCAAAACCAGAAGTAACATCTCTATGCCTGTCAACCACCTTACATTGCATTGGAACCATGTTCTTCAAAGTTACTTCAAAACTAAGCAACCAAACCATAACATGCTACCTTTCAAACCTGATCATCCATTTCCCTCAAACCTTTTCATTATAAATATAGGGTCCATTTGCAAGCCAATAAATGATTTGACAAGCCCTCAAACACTCCCAAACTCAGAATTGCTCAAAAAACTCCATTGTTGAGCCAAAAATCCATTCCTTCGAATTTCACAATCCTTGCAAGTTCCTTGCAAACTAATTGTTTATACACCTCATATACATCATACAGAAGTTGTCTAAACACAAGAACAACTTATGTAACATCATTATCACCATCTTCCAAACTCAAAAATAGTTCCCTACAAGTTGACTTGGTTGGGGAGATTCAAACACTTTCAGCATAAAGTAAGAGTTGAAATAGATTTAGGAAGGCCCCAGCAAGCTCATAGGATCATCACTTTGCACTGAAAGTCCATAGAAGAAGCGTTAGACTTTCTTCAACTTGGTGAAAAACTCAAA